GCTGCTCTGGGAAGTGCACTCTATCATTCGAGCATAATGGGTCATTTCATTAATGATTGCTTATTTCTGGTCCAATTATTTTTATATCGACGACTTTTGAATTATAAATGTCAATTTAAGTTTGAGATACTCATTAGGGTTATGAGTTATTATGTAATGTCTTGCTAGAAAGATTCAGATGTAGAAATTAAGAAAAGGAGTCTTATCTTCGTGCTCTTGAGGATAGAACTTAAAAAAATTATAACTGGACGTTTACTCGGCGCAAAATTAATCAAGATTGGGGAGTATAAATTTTTAAACAGTTTCATTTTCTAAACATATTGCTTGGTCACAGCTGCATTATGATTCCCATTATACTTTATTATTCCTTACATATATATTAAGTATATTAATATTGTATTTCCACCATAATGGAAAACAACATATTGTTCGGTTACAATCCCGTTATGATTTCCATTATACTTTATTATTCCTTACATACTATTAAGTATAATAATACTGTATTTCTACCGTAATGGAAAACATTATGCGAAAGAAAAACGGTTGGAATTCGCTAATTAAGAATCAAAGAGTTTTATTTTATTTGAGGGGGAGAGGAAGGAGGAAGTTAAAGTTTGAAATTTTAGAATAGAAGAAATGCGGTACATATTTTTTAAAAGAAAGCAGTATTCCGATTGCAGAACATTCATTTAGCAATGCATAAAACACTGAGATTTGTAAAAAAAATTAAAAATTTTATCTAGGCTTTGAAGTTTTTCTATTTTCATTAATAATATTGTTGCGAAATACAGCTGCAGTAAAATAGCTTTTCGACAAAGCGGGATTAGGTATTCCAGAAAATGGCAGGGAAAGGCAGGGTTGCGAGATTTGGCGCGATATCGCCCATTTGGTGTCAAAACTGGCGAAATGCCGTAGAAGGAACGAGAACATTCTAGAACTCATTCTTAGTAGTTTTCCTCGAGAATGTTCTCGAAGGTAGGTTAAAGGTATAGAAACCCTGCCTGTATGCGTAGTAGTGAGTAATGTAAGAGCATGGTAAGTTCAGTAGAAGTGTTTTTGAGCTCAGAGATTAGCTTGAAAGCAACAGAACCGAGTCAGGCACTGTACTTTAGTGCTTTGCCGTGAAGCTTTCTTCACCGTTGTAGCCTGAAGGCTGTGTTGCTGATTGTTTCAGTGTGTTAATCGTAGTTTTTTTTTTTTTTTTTTTTTTTTTTTTTTTTTTTTTCCGATTAAAAACGTGTTTTTGGAATTCTCCTGTGCAATACTGGCAAATAAATTGTGTTTTGACTCTTCATCAAATATTAACATCAATTATGACAAATCCAAGAACCCGTAGAACGCAACAATACATACAGACTGCTTGATATTTTGAAGCAGGAAGCGTGAAAAATCCGTTGTGTCCTCCTTCTGATTCGAGACTTGAATTTTCCAGTTTGCTAACTCGATGTATCAACTACTTGCACCACAAAAGCAGGCATAGGGGAATGAGCTTATTCCTTGCTCTCATTCTTATCAAATACGACTGAAGAAGACACATTATCCACTCGATCAAATCCAGGTAGTGACGAATGATCAGCTATAACATTTTATTCGGGCGCCAATGGTTTTTTGGAATAGGAAGTATGAAAAATCAACTGCGCCTCGCGGAAATGCAGAACATGATTCTTTCATTTGCCAGCTAGACGTGCCATCCATTTAATATTAGCAAAACACGTACAGGAAATGTGATAACTTCTTGAAAGTTTAAGCTCTGATGTTAGTGTTCTTTTCTTCCTATTTACAGTAATAAAAATTATTGAGCAGAAAGGGAAATGGATATATTTGTCATCACTCTGTACCTATACAAAGCGCTGAAAAAAGATGGTTTTAAGCTTTATTATTTAATATTGATTCTAAATTGTCTTTTTGATGTAAAATTTACAGAAGAAAACTTCGATTTTAAACCTTTCATCTTTCGACAATCCTGCAAGTATGAAGCATACGTAAGTTGATTACAGCTAACGCATTAATATGTGGTGTTTCAGTTTATAAAGGTGATACATATAGCATAATTTACCACATAATCATAATATAACCTATATAAACTATAATAATTTTTTACTGGTTTGCTACGAAACAATAACCGTTCGAAGAACTGAACCAAAACGAAAGACTGTTGTTTGCTATGACGGAAAACAGTAACAAAGAAAAAAATGTGTTGAAGAAGTCGAAGACGGAGAATTTTATGAAACTAGTTTCGTCACTGTAGTTGGAAGATTCTCTAAAATTAAAATCTAACTTTTTATATGATCCTTGTAAAGCAAAATTTCTAATTAGCGAAAGTTTCATCGCATTCTAATTAATTAAAGCAAGCATCCGCATATCATAATTTAAGTGTAAAATTAATTTTTCATTTGATGTCAATATCAGCAAAAAATAGGCTTAATGCATTTTTGACCATATTTCTCTTTGTCGAGTTAAGTCCCTTTATTGTATGGAAGGACATAATTTTACCATTCACTAAAATTGAAATGGACTGCATTTTGTTACAGGTTAGTTAAATAAGATGAAAAGATAATTACTCAATTACATTTACCTGTAAACAGAAAATGAAACGCAACAATAACGCAGTTCCTAATAAACTTGATTTTTATTCCGACTGTATTATCTTAAAGCCTTCATTGATATATGACTTTCATATTTTTGTTGAACATATTATAACTATTTATGCAGAGTTCTTGTATGAAGTTTAATTCTAATGCGATTATATAGAACGAATCGTTACCTTAAATTAATCTTACATCCGTAAATGATAAGGTTACGTAAACCAAATTTCATTGTTTTAAGGATTTTCATGAATGACCTCTAATGACCGTGGATCTATACGATTTGAATCATTTTATCTGTTAGAAGATGATTTATTATTAAAATTTTAAGTCTAGAATATGAACCATTAGCTCAAATCCGAAATTTAAAAAAAAAAACTAGTATCTTTTGTAATCATGCATCATAAAAATGAGTCTTATTTAATTTAAAAATACGAAACTGATTTGTTCTTGCATGTTCAGCAATCATTCATTTCAGAAAAATTAGTAATTTCCTAGATTCTTAAGCTCAAAAACAAGTCCCTTAGAAAATTATGTATGTTTCTTTGTATTTTCAAGCAATGTTTTTACCAAATGATATCAGCACAATGATCAAATTCGTCAAGAGAATTTCATGAAAAATTTATCTTCTTAAATCTAAAAATATTCATGAAACCTCCTGAGAGTTTAAGAATTTATGAGTAAAACTTTCTGCATTTGTGTCATAAAAAGCAATATTACAGAACTTCTTTTCTCTTAATTCAAAAAACATCAACATGGGCATCATTAAGTCGCAAAGAGAACATCCATATGATGACTGAAAATGACCACCTGTCAGAAGAAGCCACGCTTATTGAAATACAGTCTGTTACTCAAGTTCAGAAAAACATTCATTTTTATGTTTTCGACTTGGTGAGTGTAGGCTAAACGGAACTGTGACAGGTTTAAAATATTCAGAAGATAATGATTGTCATGTTTTTGAAGCATCGACTTGAGGCGCTTTTTATGTTTCTCGTAACCGTTTTCAACGAACTTCAACTACGCTCATCAATAAGTTCCAGAATGCTACTTAAAAAAAATGCATCTTTGTTGTTTATACAGTGCACAACTTCTGAAAGTTCCGAATTCATAAAGGATCGTACGCACGCGAAAGATTCTTCTTTAAAACAATCTATGTTTAATAATATAATTTAAGTAATGAACAGCAATTGTTTTCTTTCAGAAAATGTTTTGTCCGTTCTTATTACAAATATAGTTTGCTGTGTTTATTTTAATTTTCTAATTATTATTTTATTTTGGAGCAAGCCTTTCTTTTAACTTTTTATTTTAACTTTTCATTTTTTTATTTTCAGCTAAGTCTTCCTGCCATATAGAGTTTACATGATTAGAATTATGTGAATAAGGTAGAAACAAGTGTTTAAGCTGAAGTCTAAGTCATTTCACTAGAAGAGGGTAGAAGAGCATAACACAGCATGTTCTGCTTTCCGGCCACGTTGCAGCTGCTATTCTGATCTTAGTATTACTCTGTAATTAATTTGTTGCTAAATCAATTTGTTGCTAAAGTTTTCTTCAGCTAAACAAACCATTGTTTTATCACTGAAAATGTTAAATCATTTGCTAAGAAGCGTTTACAGCAGGGCCTTACGAGGTGCATAATGCATAAGCCTAACTTCGTTACTAGTCAATTAAAACTTGCTACTTCACTGAAGCTGGTATAAGGATTGTGTCTAAATGCTCTAACTGTTCAACTTTATGCCACTGTGATGTAAGAACCAATCAGCCACAGCAAGGGAAACACGAACTCACAATCGGTCGAAGATTCCACATTCAAGTACGCGCGTTGCTTTACCTTCCCTGGCTGCCCTTGTTTAACAAATGGAGTTAATGACTTTTATGTCTTAAAACTATGACAATAATCACCAGCGTATGAACGTTCCCTTACAGGCAATAAGACATTCCGATCATTAACAAAGTTGCTGCATGTTCGTTGCGTTAAAATAATATTGTGTTGATTTCCGAAGTAAAATTGAACCGTTTTCGTACTTTTCATTGTGGTGAATGTTTCCATCATAAAATCTCTATAAACTGTAGCCAATACTGGAATATTGACTATAGTAACAGGAAAATTGGAAAATACGATACAATGAAAAAGATCATAAAGTTAGCTTAAATTATGACGCTAAACAATAAAAGCATTACTTAAACATACACTAATCAATACTTAAAATACAACGCTAATTATGGGTTATCATATATTGTCTAAAAAAAAAGAAGCATTTTTATAAACAGATTTTTATCCTTTTCCTTTTATATTTTTCTAATTCACTTTTGTCCATCCTGCAATTTCTTTACTTCATCAATTTTAAATAGACTTAAATCGTTGTTTTGAGAACTGAACAAGTTTAATCAGATTTAATTTTATTCAATTCTCTTTAGGTATACTTTCGAGGAACGTGTCTTCTTAGAAGGTACTGAAGCTACTTTTACAATAACGTCAACTAGTCGAAAAGATTCAGCTTTATTTACATGTATAGCTCATAACGCTTATGGGAAGGACGACACCAACTTTCAAATCGTTGTTCACGGTATGAAATAGTTATTTAATTAAATACATGAATATACTTAATTACAATTACGATTTTATGAAGCATAAAAGCATTTAATTTGGATGAAATTTAATTATGGTTTGCTCAAGGATGTAACTTAAAGTATAATTAATTTGTGATTGTAATTGATTTGAATGAATGCTACACTGACATTTTTAATAAAGTATTTCAAAGCAGCATTAACGAATATGAATTATAATCAATTTAAAATTTAAATTGCAATCAAATTTATTAACTTTGATAATTTCGGTAATTACGTTTTCAGCAGAAAAAAGCTGAATGCAAAACTTCAGATAATTTGTATTATTATATTATTTAAAGTTATTTTTTTTTAAGATATGTTAAAGTTCTTGCATTTCTCCCAACTTTTTTTATCGTATATGATAGTAACTTCGTTCTTTCTATTAAATGCAATAATATACGCTTAAACTTGTATATTCAGAGAATTTCTTTAATAGCAGAAATGCATATTGATGAGAGCAAACTCATATTGCCTTTATAAAAAAGTGCTGTTTTTAATACAGAATTAAGAAACAAAAACATTTCTGTGAATAGGGAAATAGATTAATAAAGCTACAAAACTTAGCAAAATCTCCGAGACCGAAAAACAGTTCTTATTGCTGTTCTTATTGACAAAACTTTCTGTGGAGTTTTTGATTCAGTGAATGGATTATAATCTCGGAAGTTGTGAAGAAATATCTTAATGTATTTATGATTCAAAGTTTGAATATATATCACACTTAACTGTACAGATAAAATATTTAAAAAAGCAACTAAAGTAAGGAGTTATGCACTAGTTGCACTAAACATAAAAGTAATTTAAGGCTAAGTGATACAGGAAAGAATTACATACCATAGCTCTTGTTATAACATTAACAACCATTGCAGTATTGTTGCAATTAACAATCAAGATTTCCTTAATGATATAATCATGTTTTTCCTAAATTTAATGGAAAATTATTCAAAATTATATACTGTCAAATATTCTAAGGAAAACAAGAATCTTAATCATCACTTAATCGACATTTTTCTGCTTTTTTCAGGCAAAATATGCCTCGACAGTTAAGCAAATCTTGTCGTTAATTTATTAATAGCAACAATCTCCGTTTACAGTTGTTTGATCTATACACTGTGTCTATAAAAGTTCTTATTCTGCTTTTATTTTCTAAACCATTAATCGTAGACGAGTAAATCCCCCTGCAAAAAAGTTTCAAAACGCAAAGTTATTTTGGGCATTTTTAAATTTAAAAAAATCAGTTTTGTAGAAATTCCTAAATCTAGCATTTTGTACATTCCTCGGTCTGTATATTTATATTTAGGAAAATGCTATACTCATTATAAAAGGCGCAGTACAGAAATGTAGACAAAAATTGATGAAGATATTTAGTTTTAAATTGGGACTTCATCTGAAGAACGAAGTATTTGCATTTGTGCTTAATTAACAATAAAATATCTATTTAGAAAAAGATTTTTAATGTTAATTAATTCATTGAAGAGCCTATCTATGCATATTATCTTGAAAAGTAGCCATAAATACAATTTGCTTCTTATGAAAATTCTTAATCCCGGAATCTTACAGAATTCCTGCGCTAAAAAACCTTGGAGGGTTTCAGTATCGCCATATTCCTAACTCATAAATTAAAAACTTCCTAAATTAAAAAATGAAGATATTTCTAATTTAATTTATTTTTTGTATGATTTTAAGATTAGGTTTCTAAAGTAATAAAACTGCATGAGAATATTAATAATGCATTTCTAACATTTCAAAATGTCAAATTATTTATATGAAACTTCTTTCGGCATATCAATTGTAACAAAATTATAAATTAAAACATGTAACATAGTAGTAAATCGTAAAGTAATATTTCTGAATGTTATTTGAAGGAAAAAAATCAGCCTCGAATTATTTTAATTTATTCATTAACCGTCCACTTAAGGCAAATAGAAAATAACGTGAGAAGTCATAAATATCGCAATTTCTTTAAAATTTTCCTGAGGATAAAAATATGGACCGGCAAACCGCATAAAAAGTTAGATTTTGCAATTTGTCCAAAATTAATTTTTAACTTATAAATTGCCAGAACATGAATATTTGCATTATTTAAAAAATTTTTGTAACTCGAAGTGTATGTCTACGACCAATGATTGTAAAAATAAAGTCAAAGTAAGAAATTTTGAGGATATGCTGCATATTCAAGTGCATACATTGTCTGAATTCTGCATTGACTATGATGTATTTTGTTTTATATGTGTGTGTTTCAAAGTTGTAATGACCAATTCCGTGATAATATTTTTTCTTTCTGTTTTCCCAAAGAACCGCCTGATAAACCACCTTCCGTAGACGTTACGAATAAAGGAAGCCGATCACTATCAGTTACATGGTCAGTCCCGTATAGTGGTAACAGACCAATTACTAAATATGTACTAGAGTATAAAACTTTAGAAGGTAAGTAGGTACTAGATTAATAAAAATAAATGTGCATTTCTGTTGTCTATTTATATGAAACTATTTTTCTAGTCAAATGTCTTGCAAATAAATTTTTACATACATTTCATAGAATTATGAATGTCTGATTGTATATTACGTTAAATGGAACGGCATGTTATCTATCGCCAAGGGAAAGACTTTGTCAATGTTAAACTATATAGTGCAACAAACTCATAAGGAACAATGTTTGTGGCATATTTACAAAGTTATATTACCATTTAAATGTACTGAATAATGATATTGCTAGTATAAACTTTATTTAAAATTTGTTAGTAATATAAATTGTCTTTAAAAAAGGTGCTTTAGCTAAGCTTCCTGAAAAATTACTGCAATAAATGGACAATAATCATTTCTCATTCACAAAACTAGCAGTTCGGCAGCAATGCGAATACTAGAGTTTGGAAGCATTGCGAATTCGGTAGTTGCAATTCGAGTTCAGTAGTTCAGGTTCAGTAGTTGAACCTAAGCTGGAGTTCCTAATAAAGACACTTTCAAATTCTCTCGTAAGCTTTTGATTTCAAGCAAGTGAAATTTAAGCTTTCAAGCTTAAAATCAAGAATCGAGTTTTCTTACTGTGTTGGAAGTATGAAGTATATTGAAATCTGATCAAATATTTTTCAGAGAAAATGGGCTTATTTTCTTTCCTTTCGTCGTCTCTACAACACCCTGTCCACTGGGTAAGATGCTCATCTGCCTCCGAGTTGCTTCTCCTGTAGTTCAAATGATAAAAATAACTGAAGAATAATAAAAGCAACACTCAGATCGCAATTGACGGACTTAACATAGTCCGCTGGAGTCACTATTAACATTTAACTAATGGAAGTGATTCGTCAGATTACGAAACATGTGATCAAAGAATGAAATATAGTGCATACATAAAGATTTTAAACTGTGCCCCAACTCTCCGCATTTTGGATCTAGTATTTCTAGCCGGAACGTACTTTAGCCATAAATATGATAGATCTTTTATGTACCTGAATCTGAATTCGTTTGCAAAAATTTCTTTTGATCTCTAAAATTTTATTTTAATGATAAGTAAGTCTGGAATCGATTCTGCCATCTGAATGCATAATTGTCTTTCCTGGCCAACAAATCTTTCGCCGGATGTTGAAATTCTTAAGTAAAGAAAAGCTCCGCTATGTCAATAGTTTATTCTCAAAAAGTTTGGAGAACTTATGAGAGCAGGCGAATTTTTTACTCCCAAAAGTACTACAAGTGATCGCCTGGGTCCACATCCAACGCTAGTGATTTCTTGCGGAAAAGAACCCCAGAAGATGTTTTGAAACCATGTAAAACCAAATAAATTGGACGAAATTTGCCCTTGTACAAAACCTTACATTTATTCAGCTATTAGATCAATCTTCGGCTTCTTATTCTTAGCTTTCAGATCAATCTTCGGATTCGGAAAAATTTTTTACCCTGTCACTTGCTGCTTGACACCAAGTTAAATTATATTAGCAAGGTATCGTGGTAAAACGTGTTGGGCTAAAATCTCTTTTATACATATATATTGTTACGAATTTGGTATTTAGAAAGCTAATGTTAGTTCAATTATAAATTAAATGGTTTTATTTCTCGCGCAGTGCAGCGCGTGACGAATATTAAAAGAAAGCTAAGCCGGAAAAATTAAAAATACAAGAGCGCGTGCGTTAAATAAATAAATATCTCTTTTTTGATTTCGAGAAAGTGCTGGAAAATTCTAGCGCGTGATTTTAAAATCTTATAAAAGGAGGAAAACATCTCAGTTTGTAGTACTTGGTAAATTTATTGTTGTTTAGAAAACTGCTCTTGTTGATTGTAGCGAATTCGCGGATTAGCGTTCTTTAGCTGTTTTGAATTACGTTCTAATGGACATTTGAGTAGTTAAAAGATAACTACTGCGAGATATTGTAATACTGCATGATAATTTGAGAAAATTTAAGCATTTTTGTTGTGATAATAATAAATTTTTGTTCATTTTTCATGGGACTTGTGCATTCATTTAGTAACGGATCCGTACGCACGCGACAATTTTTGGTGTCAGGAATGGGGTTTGAATGCCAGTAACAAGAGCGATGGAAGAGCAGTTAAGGCAATTGATAACAGCCTTTGCCTCGTTTAAAGAAGGAATGAAAGAAGAGATGAAATCAAGCCAAGGAAAGATGGAAGGGGCCGTCAACTCCGTTAAGGAAGAAATGAAATTGGGCCAGGAATCCGTTAAGGAAGAGATGAAATCTCTTAAAAATGAGATGAAAGCAGGTCAGGACGAAATAAAAAGAGAAATTACCTGCGTAATAGAAAATAAATTTGAGGCTATGGAAGGCAGAATAGACGCGGTTGAAACTAAAGTTGGACAAATAGAAGAAAGAGTTTCTTCGGTAAAAGAACAAGTAGAAGAAAGAATTTCTTCTGTAAAGGAACATATAGAAGAGAGAGTTTCTGCCGTCGAACAACAAATTGATGATAGGATTTCTGCTGCCGTCGCCAAAGAAGTTGACAGCCTAAAGAAGTGCATAGCGACGGTAGGAAACAATTCTGAAAGTTTCAAATTTTTATCGATGCCTGCTCGTTCCGTTCTGAAACTATCTACATATGATGGAAAAGAGACCTCCTGGCAGGTGTATAGGACACAATTTTCTATCGTTGCGGATGCGAATGGATGGGATTCCCAAGCTAAGGCCTGTCATCTCGCCCGCTTCTCTGAGAGCAGATGCAGGCGGATATCCTGCAGACGCTTCCCGAAAATCAAAGGCTAGATTTCGAAGCTCTATCCGGCGCTTTGGAGCTGCGCTTCGGCGAGAAATGTTTTTAAAAGACTACAGCAGGCTCCAAAGCTCCCATTAAATCTCGTCAACAGAAGCTCACCGAAACGCTTCAGGAGCTCGCCACGGATGTTGAAAGGCTGTCACATCTCGCCTTTTCGGAGTGCCCGATAGAAACAAGGGAAATCCTGTCCCTGCAATATTTCATCGATGGCATCCGAGACCCTGAAATACAGAAAGCACTGCGAATGGCGGATGTTAAAGATCTGAAAAGCGCTTTAGTGTATGCCATGAAATTTGAGGCAGCCCAGCAAGCCACCCGTCGAGACCGCCATCCAGTCAGAGCTGCTCAAGTCCAGGAGCCAGGGGATCAAGTCACTGCTCGTCTAGACGATTTAACTAGACAACTGAACGCCTTGAGACAGAATATTGGTGACAAGAAACCGACCGTAAAGTGCTGGAACTGCGGTGCTGAAGGACACATCCGACGAAACTGCAGAACACCCTAGGGCACGGATGTTAAGACCGCTCATAACAACACAGCAGGGAAACTAATTAGTGGCCATCTCGTGGGGCGGAGGTTGCCAGATCATGAAAAGCCCCAGTTTTAAAGCGCTTCAGATTTCTGCCAGTGAGTGGCGGCAGTAATGGACTTTTCATAATAGGACATATTAATGGAGTTTCCCTGCAATATGACCGATAGATACAGGAGCCAACGTTACCATCATCCGAAAAGATTTGGCTCAAGAAACTGGGAAGCAAACTTATCTGGACGCCGCCCTGCGTTACTCTTCCAGACTGTGTCCGGTGAGAAGATCGACATCGAACGGAAAAGTAAATGTTAACATCACGTTTGGAAGTGCCGCTTACCATCACACGGCATATGTAGCAGAGATTCACTAGATTCTTGCATACTCGGATTGGACTTTCTAAGGAAATACAATTTTTCCTTGGACTTTAAAAATAACGAATTGCATTCTACATCTGAGGACATAGCGTTATTTGGAGTCAATGATGAAGTTAAATCTGTCCATAAAATCATAGCACAAGACAATATCACAATACCGGCAAGAACAGAAATTTTACTTCCTGGATCCATAGCTGAAAACAGAAATTTCCGCTACGACATCATAGAATATCCCAATAACTGTAATAGCCCAAATGGAGTACTATTAGCCTCAACACTCGTCGACCTATCCAGAACGGTTATCCCGCTGAGAGTCGCCAATGTAATTGAGAAGGGGAGAATTATTAAGAAAGGTGAAGTGGTTGCAGCATGTACTCCAGTAACCACCGTTGAAAGAAAGAGTAACATCCAAGAATCCGTGTCCTCAGAGAGAATTACATCGGAGTTATTGCAGAATGCGCAATTAAACGATAAAGAGAATGCTGCCGATCGCGTCATTAAAGATCTTCAAGTTGTTTTCTCCTGCTCGTCTTCTGACGTGGGTCGAACTAGTTTGACACAACATAGAATAGATACCGGCGATCATCCCCCGATCAAGCAACATCCAAGACGTCTACCGTTTGCTAAACAGGAAGAGGTGCGAACACTGTTAAAAGATATGGAAGAAAGCGATGTCATCGAGCCTTCAGTAAGTCCATGGGCATCTCCCATCGTCCTAATCAGAAAGAAAGACGGCTCAACAAGATTTTGCGTCGACTATCGCCGATTGAATGAGGTTACGAAGAAAGACAGTTACCCTCTTCCTAGAATTGATGACATTCTAGACACTCTTCTGGCAGCAAGTGGTTCTCAACACTTGATTTAAAGAGTGGGTATTGGCAGGTAGAAATCCATCCTGAAGACCGAGAAAAGACGGCATTTACTACGGGACAAGGGCTTTGGCAATTCAAGGTGATGCCGTTTGGACTGTGTAATGCGCCGGCAACATTCGAACGTCTTATGGAAACTGTTTTGAAAGGCCTTTCCTACGAAGCCTGCCTCATATACCTGGACGACATCATCATCGTCGGAAAGAGTTTTGAAGAACATTTAGAAAATCTTAGGAAGGTGCTTCAGAAACTGAAAGAAGCCAAACTGAAGCTGAGTCCCGCTAAATGCAAATTGTTCCGAAAGGAAGTGACTTACCTGGGACATGTTATCTCTGTAGAAGGTGTGCGCACGGATCCTGAAAAGGTATCAGCCGTTAAATCCTGGAAACGTCCCGAAAATGTCCATCAGCTGAGAAGCTTCCTAGGGCTTTGCACCTACTA